ATACATTTTTCTTGTCGGACCGCGTAAGCTGGTCTCTTCTGCTGTGCGCTCGCTCAATCCGACTCAGGCGAAGACGAGGGCGACGAGGCCGAAGAAGCCGAGCCCGAAGTACCACTGGAAGAGCTCTTCTTCGAAGGGCGCTTCTTCACCATATTCTGCTCTGTGGCCTTCTGCTTCTTGGCCGCCGCCGCCGCGCGGCGCTTCTCGCGGCAGCGCCGCGATGCCTCCTTGCTCTTCCTTCCTCTCCTCGCACGACATCTTCTTCCTAGTAGAAACGCCCGCCGCGGGGGGCGGCTGCTTGCGGGTAATCCGCTTCGTTGTTGCCACGGGCGGAGCCTTCCAGCCGTCGTTGGCTCTGACCTGAAAGGCGCTCCTCTCCTTAGTGTTCGTCGTCTTCACCTCCTGCCCAACCTTGCCCACCTCGCCCTCCGCAGAGAGCCTAGGCATGTTGTCGGCACAAGTGCAGTACTCGATAGCAGGAAGGTGATTGAGCCTCAAACCAGCTACGGAAGAGAGTACCCGAGTTCTGAACTTAACTTGATATCTTCCCATATGGAAGAACACACATATGATGATGATGATGATGACGAGTAGGTGTTTCAAGATGCTGCTGATGACGATGGTGATGACGAGTATGTGTTTCAAGATCCTGCTGATGGCGATGATGATGACGAGTATGTGTGTCAAGATGCTGGTGATGACGATGATGATGACGAGTATGTGTTTCAAGATGCTGCTGATGACGATGGTGATGACAAGTACATGTTTCAAGATGTTGCTGATGATGATGGTGATGACGAGTATCTGTTTCAAGATGCTGCCCTTTCCTGTCGTGCCCCCGCCCTACTCGGAGATGGCGCTTTCGACATCACCCTGGGATCCCCAAGATCATCCCCTGTCAGGGGCAGGTCGCGAGTACCAGAAATGAGAGTTACGAATCTTCTGGCATGCGTTGGGGGCAATCCATTATCATAATGGGCCTCGCAGGGCACCGTCGGGAAACACAGCCCACCAGACTAAGGGAAGAACCCCCTGGGTCTAAGCACCCATAGCGGGTTCCATAAGTCCTCCTCTCCTTCCTGCTCTTCTTCCTCCTCCTCCTCCGCCTCCACCTCCGTCTCTTCCCCCTCATCCCTCCTACTTCCAGTGGGTGAGCGCCGAAGCGCGTTCCAGAGGGACATATTAAGCCTTAATCCCTCGATTCTCCGGCCTCCGGAGGCCCGAAACAAACATGAGCGAATTACTGTATTACTTGTTTTGCAGCGGGTAACAACAAAAATCCTTATGTGATAAGCTACACAGAATCTGCTGGCAGGTTATGACAATGTTGATAACGATTATGCTTCGCCAGGGATTCCGAAGGCCATTGCGACGATAAGCGCGTGTTTCAAGATGCTGCTGATAACGACGGTGGTAACACGCTTTTTTTTAAGGTGACGGCGATGACGATGGCGGTAACGAGTATGTGTTTCAAGACGCTGCTGATGACGATGGTGATGACCAGTATGTTTTTCAAGATGTTGCTGATGACGATGGTGGTGACGAGTATGTGTTCCAAGATGCTGTTGATGACGATGGTGATGACAAGTGCGTGTTTCAATATGTTGCTGATGACGATGGTGATGACGAGTATGTGTTTCAATATGCTCTTGATGACGATGGTGATGACAAGCATCTGTTTCCAGATGCTGCTGATGACGATGGTGATGACGAGCATGTGTTTCAAGATGCTGCTGATGACGATGGTGATGGCGAGCATGGGTTTCAAGATGCCGCTGATGACGATGGCGATGGCGAGCATTTGTTTCAAGATGCTGCTGGTGACGATGGTGATGGCGAGCATGTATTTCAAGATGCTGCTGATGACGATGGTGATGGCGAGCATGCGTTTCAAGATGCTGCTGATGACACCGGTGAGGACGAGCATGTGTTTCAAGATGCTGCTGATGACGATGATGATGACGAGCATGGGTTTCAAGATGCTGCTGATGACGATGGTGATGATGACGAGTATGTGTTTTAAGATGCTGCTGATGGCGATGATGATGATGACGAGCATGTGTTTCAAGATGCTGCTGATGACAACGGTGAGGACGAGCATGTGTTTCAAGATGCTGCTGATGACGATGATCATGACGAGCATGGGTTTCAAGATGCTGCTGATGACGATGGTGATGATGACGAGTATGTGTTTCAAGATGCTGCTGATGACGATGATGATGATGACGAGCATGTGTTTCAAGATGCTGCTGACGATGATGATGATCACGAGCATGTGTTTCAAGATGTTGCTGACGATGATGGTGATGACGAGCATGTGTTACAATGCGCTGCTGATGACGATGGTGATGACGAGCATGCGTTTCAAGATGCTGCTGATGACGATGGTGTTGGCGAGCATGTGTTTCAAGATGCTGCTGATGACGATGGTACTGACCAGCATGTGGTTCCAGATGCTGATGATGACGATGGTGATGACGAGCATGTGTTCCAAGATGCTGCTGATGACGACGATGATGATGACGAGTATGTGGTTCAATATGCTGCTGATGACGATGATGATGATGACGAGTATGTGTCTCAAGATGCTGCCCATGACGATGGTAACGACGAGCATGTGTTTCAAGATGTTGCTGATGACGATGATGATGATGATGATGATGATGAGTATGTGTTTCAAGATTCTTCTGATGACGATGGTGATGACGAGCATGCGTTTCAAGATGTTGCTGATGATGATGGTGATGACGAGATGCGTTGGGAGCAACGCGCTGTCATAATGAGCTCCACAGAGCACAATCGAGTGGGAAGCACAGCCCACCAGACTAAGGGAATAACTCCCTGGGGCTAGGCACCCATAGCAGATTTCATAAGTTATCCTCTCTTTACCCTTTTTCCTCCTCCTCCTTCTCCGCTTCCATCTCCGTCTCTTCCTCCTCGCCCCCTCTTACTTCCAGTGGGTGAGCGCCGAAGCGCGTTCCAGAGAGATTAATAAGCCTTGATATCTCGATTCTCCGGCCTCCGGAGGCCCGAAACAAACATTAGCGGATTACAAATTGATTTATTTTGTTGTTGGATTACTAAAGGGAATCCTTTTGTGGTGAACTATACATTGTTTTATTTTGTGGCAGATTACAAAAAGATTCCTTTTGTTGAGAATTACAAAAGGATTTCTTTTGTGGAGGATCACATGATGATTCTTTTTTGTGGCGAATTACAAAAGGGAGTCCTTCTGTGGTGAATTACAAAAGGATCTCTTTTGTGGAGGATTACAAAGGGATTCCCCTTGGTGGAGGAATACAATGGGATTCCTTTGTGGAGGATTACAAATTGATTTCCTTTGAGGGCTCTCCTGGAAGTGAACCAGGGGACAAAAGAAAAAAACGAAAAAATATCAGACAATCAAGGTTTTGAAACCGAAACCATATGAAAACGCAGCATTTTTGCATTCGGATTGTGAACATGCTGTGTTTTTTATAAGGTTTTGCTTCAAAACATTGGAAAATCATTGAAAACATACAATTGCTTTAATTTTCAATGATTTTCTGATTTTTTTTTTCTTTGTCCCCTGGTTCACTTTCAGGAAAGCGCTCAAAGAAAATCATATGTAATCCTCCACAAAAGGAGTCCCTTTGTATTCCTCCACCAAAGGGAATCCCTTTGTAATCCTCCACAAAAAGGGATCCTTTTGTAATCCTCCACAAAAGGAATCCTTTTGTAATCCGCCACAAAAGGAAGCAATCTGCAATGCACCATGAACAGAATTCCCTTGCAATTCCCCACAAAAGAACTCAATTTAAAATGTGCTACAACAGAATCGTTCTACATTCCACTACTTTGAGCAATCCCTTTAAAGATGACGAAAATCATAATCAACAGAAAAGCAAACACATCAGAAGTAATAGACCAAAAACCGAGGTGGTACACACACGGTTTTATCAACCTTACCCCTCCTCCCCCTCCTCCCTCTCCTCTTCCTCCGCCTGGCCAGGAGCGCCAAGGACCTTTCTTTCGCAGGCAAGTTGTAGCCACGAGCCTCGAGATCTCTCGAGTCAGTCTTGTGCCAAGATCTACATAATCAGGTTACACGAGCGGATCACCATCACCATCATCATCATCATCATCATCATCATCATCATCATCATCATCATCGTCATCGTCATCGTCATCGCCATCGTCATCATAGTTAACATCACCTTCCCCGGGGAAGTCGTTGATTATCCCCGCCAGACCCCCGAACTTTGTTATCCCACGGGGATTATTATCGCCCGGGGCCGGTCACTGCTAGCCCCGCGGTACGGGTCGAAAGTTCTGGGGCGCGCGGAGTGAAACATCAATCCGCCCGAGGTTTGTGGACTCGTCATTTTCCACGGGGGGGGGGGGGACAGCGCGAGTGTTCGAGGAAAGATCTCCGCATGCGGGAGCAGCTCATCGGAGCCTCGTACGTCTTCGATTGGTTGTCGATGGGAAAGCGGCGTCGATGGACCGTCGAAGCACCGTCGATTCGCAAGGGGAAGCAAGATGACATGGGAGGCTCCCATGAGTTGCCACATGCCCCCCGCATCGCGCTTCAGCGGTGCGAGGCGATAAGCTAGGCGATCTTGGGGCACGATCGGAGCGTGCCCCAAGCTGGCCCTGCTTGACGCCAAGCGTTCCCAGACTTCCGGCGCCGTCCGTTTTCGAGTCCGCAGGCCCTTTGGGCCCTGGACCCCTTCGGCCCGTGTTTCATCCCTGGTCATGTTCTGACGGTCTCCCTGGCCTACAAGGTGGCCCCCTGACGCCCCAATCTGCGAACCGCTGCTTGTCTCCATGCGTTCGGGTCGCGAGAGGCCTGCGTCATTGGAGGCGTATTGATCCGCCGATGTCCCCAGAGGCCCATAGTGCCCCACCCAGGAGCACCCCAAGACGCGGTTAGCCTGCCGCTTCTCGCAGCCAGCCCCCCCTCGGCCCACGCAGGAGTCCGTCGGCGGCGGCGGCGGCGGCGACGACGACGACGGCAGGAGGCCGTGTCGGTGAGGGGCATCTTGGACCTTTGCGGCCGCGACGAGGTCTCGCACGCCTGCGAGGCTCCGGGCGGAGGGCCCAATTTTTGTTATCTTGGCCCGCGGCAGGGGAGTGCGGCAAGCTCGGCGGCATCCAGGGCACACTTTTGGGCGGGTTCGGGGGGCTCCGTCGTGGGGATGGCTGCGCGCAAAACGAACAGGTTGCTGGGTCACCCCCAGGGGCGCGAAGATGATCGCGCTTCGCGCATCGCGGCTAAGGCGGGAGAGGCGCCCTACTCCAAGGTGGCCTCGCGAGGGCGCTGTGGCCTCGCGAGCGCGCGACGATGACTGGGCGTCGCGCATCGCGGGGCGGGATGCGCGAAGTTGGATGACCTATCCGAGGCGGCGTTCTATCGATAACCACCACCTGGTTTGTCGATATTCGGTGGCCCCAGCAGGCGGTGGGTATGTGATATAGTCAGGCCTTGGGGCGCAGATCTATCCATGTCCACCGCGGCGATGGATGATATATCCCCGCCTCACAATCTAGGAACAATTGAATCAGGGCGGTGGCTGGAAGTCAAGGGAGGAAACAAAAACACCCAGACTCCCCATGGCGCTTACTACATGGCCATGGGCGTTGATCAAACAGTCCTGCCCTTTTCGCTTCCTTCCTTGGGCGCGTTTCTATCTGCACCCTCGCCGTGGCTGGCCGGAGGCGGGGCGGGGCCCGGAGTCGGCTGCACGTAAGAATGACCCCGGACCAGGGTGGCCCTTGGTGCGCGGCTTTAGGGGCGCCCGTGAGGGCCCAACGTAACCGCGCAAGGCGCAAGCCGCTGCTGTCGCCTCGCACCAACGATCGGCGGGAGGTGCCCCGAAAGATCCTCAGCGCCAGCGGGCAACCGTAGAACTCTGCCAGTCCGATTCGAACGCCCCGAATCGCACCCTGAAGGCGTGGAGGAGGGGGGGGCGAGAGAGCTTGGGGCTTGGGGAGTCACTGCTTCCCCTCCAGGGGGCAGAGTTTCTGCGAACAGCGTGGTCTCGGCAGGCTCGTCCCGCTCACGGTGGCGCCGGGCGTGTCGGGACAGTGTGCCATCGGGGGGCCCTCCGAGGCGGGGCGTTGTGCATTCCCACCGCCTGGGGGATCGAGGGCTCGTTCTCGGTAGCAAGTTTGTCACCGGGGGGCCCGGATGGACGAGCAGCCCCAGGTGAAAGAGGAGTTGTCCATACCCACCGCCTGGGGGATCGAGGTCCGGGGACCGGGGCGGGCGGTATGATGGATCTTTCTTTTGGCCCTTGGGGAGGCCAAACATATCCGTGTCCACCGCCTGCCGAGGCCCCCGAAGCTGGATCCCCCAGGCGATGGTGATGGATACCCCCCTGCCTCGCATGTCCTTCTGCGGATTGGTCGTTTCAATCCCGGCGTATTGCTCACGACTTGGGCCTCCCAGGGCATGTTTGGTCGTTCTCCGCGACCATCCGACAACGATCCCGGGTGAACGAGCAGCCTGGCGAGGGGTCGAGTCGATGAGCGTCGATTAGCGTCAGCCAGTGCCGATTCGCAAGGGCCAGCAAGATGGCACTGGAGCCTCCCATGAGTTACCGTGGCGGTCCTCGGGGCTGTAAACCCCTCAACAAAGAAAAAGCCGCGAAATCCGCTCTACTCGTGAATCCGCAACCTCGCAGCCCAAGTCGATAGAGCTGTAGACGGTGACGCAGGCGGCCGTCTTCGGCAGAGAGCCGAGCGCCAGCGTCGAGGGGTCCACTTCGACATATAGAAACAAACACAGGGCCGCATGGGAGGGGGCACGATCAGAAAGAGTCGTTCGCGGAAGCGGAGGAGGCAACGTGCAGATGACGACGACGAGCGCGACGACGACGACAACGATGCAGTCTATGCCAGAGAAGTGTAGCTCCAACAGCAAACGCGACGAGGGTAAAGAGGAGTGATTGCAGCCGGCGACCACGAGTACGGGGTTGAGGGGTTGAGGAGAAGGATGACGATATACATGATAGAGAAAGAAGGATAATGAAGAGAGAAAGAGAGGATCATAAGGTTGACCGAACCTCATCGCTGAACTGAAATTCAACCCATCCCACGCGCTTATGGCCCCGTCTGCTTGTCTTTCTCCTCCTCCAGCCCCTTCCCCATCTCCATATCTCCTCCATCTCCTGCCTCCTCCCCCATTCTGTCCCCTGGCTGCTCGGGGATTCCCACAAGCCGAAGCGTTCAGAAACCCGCGAACTTGTCAAGGAACTTGTGTACACCTCACTGGAGCCCCCTAGCACCTTCCAGGAGTTCGATCGCCGCCACGCCTCGCCCCCACCAGCGTACACATATCACGCATTGGATCCGGCGACACCATCCGATAAGAATCTAAAGTCGGGGGGTCACCCCCGAAACCTCAGAGCATGCTTATGTTGAGTTGCTCCTCGGTCACTCTTCCCATCCGCTTCTTCCTCCCTGGCACAACAGGCCGTTGCCGCCGCCGCCGTCTGCCTCATCGCCAGCATGGACGACACCGTAGGTGTGTCCCCCGAGGCGGTGCCTCCGAGGAGACCCGCCCAGGGGGTGTCCCCGCCAAGCGCACGGGCGGCAGGAGGGGGAAAAACACACAGGCACAATTTACGTCGACTCCCCAGAAAATATGGGAAAGTATGGGATGTGGGGGGGGAACAACAACCCAGAACATATTTGAAAATATGGGGGATCCTTTTATTTGTGTCTATTTATTTGTGTGTCCCAGGGCTCCTTCAGGGAGGCAAGAGGGATGGTGCGAAGGAGAACGCACGGCATACGCATGAATGTTCGGAGGTCCTCGCGCAGTCTTGGATCTGCACTGGGGTCCCCTCCTTGGTGCGCCGGGCGCGCCAGGGAGAGGAGAGCTTAGCGCCGACGGTTCCTGTTTATGCAGATCTTTAGTTCTCATGGTAGGCTCAAGGGGGGCTTCAACACGTTTGGAGTTTTTTGGGAGTGGGTGTAGGTGCGTCATCATTGGCATGCCAGACTCGTAGAGCTTCAGACCTGTACCAGACATTGTTTCGCCGTCACGTCGGAAGCGTCTATGTTCATATATACATATATATATATATACGATGTGGCTTGAATTCGATGTTACTGCTGAAACCAGAATTATGTGTTGCGCTTGATCTCAAGCTTGCCATCGGCCGAACCTCCACGTTGGCTTTGTTGTGCGATTCCTGCATAGAGGGCACATGACAATTGGAAGCACGTCTTTCTTGTTCCCAGAATAGTTTTAGCACTTCCGCTTTCTCTCCAGCCTGTCTCTCTCATCCCCAGTCCCCCCTCCCTTTCCCCTTCTCTCTTCCCTCCCCGGGTGGCGGAGCCTGCTCCAAGTGGCGGAGTCGCTATGAGGTCCCAGGATGCCTGCGCCAGCAGGCCGAACAAAAGGCAGCCAAGTGTGAGCGTGCGCGCGACTCGGTTAGACATGGCGTCGGGTATCGTTCAGCACTGTCCCTGCCGCGGTCGCCCTGCCCACTCTCACTGCGTCTTACCCGACTGCGACTGAGGCGACTGCGCCGACGATGTCGACGACGTCAAAGGAAACAACGACGACGGCGGCGACCTACGACGACGACGGCGTCGGGGGCGGTGGCGCAAGCGCCGGCGCCATCGGCGATGACGAAGACCATGTCGTCGACGGCGGCGGGCGTCGGCGAGGACCTGGCGCGCGAGTAGGGCCGTCCTCGCTAGGCCGGGGCACTTCACGGGCGCTTTGCGCAGGCCTTCCGCGCGCCGCCGCCGTCGTCGACGTTGGCGTCGTCTCCGCTGGCGGTGTCGTCTTCGTCGCGGGCGAAGGCGCCGCCACAGGCGCTGCGCTGGCGTCGTCCTCGAACTCGTCTATGCCACCATCTTCTGACTCGACGTCGTGGATGTGGTGGTCGGCGTCGTCGGAGGACGTAAAGGAGGCGGGAATGATCCGTATCCATTTTGGCTCAAGATGGCCAGGGGGTCCTTGAGTCAGAACGTAAGCCTACGTACCGCGCTGTCTCTCTGTCTGCTGCTCACCCGCATCTCATCAGATGGCGTGCGCGTGGTGGCAGGAGAAGTCTGCCCAGGCTTCGCCCTCCAAGAAGCAGTGGTGGCAGGAGGAGCAGTGGTGGCAGTGTCGTACGAGTGGCTGCCACGCCTGGAATCAGGTCGCGGCCAAGAAGTGCAAGGGTTGTGGGTTGAAGAAGAGCTGGGCCCAAGTGGTGCAGTCCGACAAGACCGAGGTGGTTCCGCCGTGGGCTCAGCGCACGTCAGCACTGGACTCAGCGGTCGGCCCGACCACTATGCTGCAGCAGCTGCCCCGCAGATCGACCACAACGTCAAGATCAAGAGCCTCGAGAATGCGATGGCGGCATTGCCGCCAGGGGAGGAGTTCCAGCCGACGCGCGAGCTCCTCACGAAGCAGATCCAGGAGGCCAAGAGGAACGTCACCTTCTCGAAGCCGCTGAGCAGCCAGCTGGTCTCGTGCAGGTCTGCCGTGGAGCGCGCCGACAAGCGTCTCTCCGACAGCCAGCGGGCGCTGGCCAAGGCGCAGGAGGAGGTGAGTCAGGCCATGGCGGAGTCCGACCAGCAGAAGATCGAGCTGCAGGAGCTCGAGGCGAAGGCGCTGCAGGTGAACGCCCCGAACTCCCTCGATGCCTCGACCCAGAGCTTGTCGAGGGTCATCGCCGACATGAAGTCCTCGTCTGTGGTCCCACAGGCGACGTTGAAGGAGGCGGAGACGGTGATCATGCGCCTCCTCGCGGACCTGAGGAGCGCGACGGAGACGGGCGCCCAGCTCACGCCGGTGCAGAAGGGCACGGACGACGAGGACATGGAACCCGACGAGCAGGCCGCGGCGAAGCGCCGCCTGAGGGGCAAGCAGACCCTCGCAACGGCCAGTACCACAGCAGCCCCCGAGGCCGCGCCAGTTTTTCAGGATGCGGGCCCTTCAGCCATGACGGCGCAGAGGGTGCTGAGCTACCTTGATGTCAAAGGTGGCCTTGCTTGGGGCCGACCTCATTCTCATGACTCTCCTGAGCACCGTCAAAGTTATTGGTCACTTCTCAGTGGCACGATCACCAAGTGGAGGCAACGTTATCCAACTTCATTCGTGGTCTTGGCCACGGATGTGAACGCACGTGTCGGCTCTGTGCGCTCGAGCGCCTTTGGGCAGGAGGGTTCCACCCGCAAGAACGCCAACGGCGCTCTCATGCGAGCTGCTCTCGAGGCGCAGCACGTGGTCGCCATCAATACCTTTCAGGCGGGTGAGTGTGCGTGGCGACCACCCCGAGGCATACCGTCTCGGCTGGACTACGCGTGCATTTTGAAGAGTGAGTATGTACCTGGACGGCGAGTTTGGGTATCATATGATTTAGATTCGACTCTTGATCAGATTGTGGATCACAGAGTTGTCTTTGCTGAGTGTGTAGTACGTGCAGTGCCTAATCAGGAGGTGAACGCTGCCATCGTGGAGAAAGCATCTCATATTTTCCCAGAACGTTTTGATCGTCGGCAGTTGGATGACCCGAAGTGCCGAGATGCCTTTCAAACGAAGATGTGGGGGTATCAGATGTCTGGTGAGGATTCGACCGAAAGACTTGAGCATTTCAATGAGTACGCTCGGCAAGCGGCCTGTGAGGCCTTTGGCAGCAAGAGAGATACTCCCATTAAGCCATGGATCTCAGCTCGGACGTGGAGAGCGTTGAGGTTGAATGCCCCACTCCGCCGGCACGCGCACGAGCTTTTTCAACAGCAGCGCCGCCTTCGATTGCATTTTGTCATTCAAGCTCTGCTAGCACAGAAGCATGCTACATACCCATGTACACCATAATGTAGACACGGGTGGAAGGCGGTAGCGGAGTACGAGCAGATATCCATGAACATACGTATCATGAGCAGGTGTCTTGCACATGCTGTGCGTAGTCAACGTATACTGAAGGGCCTGATCAAGCCCTCGTGCGACATAGATCGGAACATCATGTTCGAAGAGCGCATCTGAGCTGGACAGGCAGGCCCTCGATGGGAAGTTTGCTGGCACCTTTAAGATCGCTCGCATGTTGTCGAGAGGAGATGTTCGTGGGAACACCGACGTTCAGCTAGACTCGGGCGTTCTGACTGCCTCCTCAGCTGATCGTGATCTAGCATGGCTACAGCGCTACAGTAGGGTATTTCAGGCGGAGGTCAAGAACTTAAAATAGATAGTCATCCCGTGCTCCGATAGGCCCCCAGCTCCCCTGGCACTCAACATGCCCCCCGAGGCAACCTACGAGGCAATCCAGAGGCTCGCGAAGAACAAGGGTGCAGGATGTGATGGGGTCCCCGCAGAACTCCTTGAGGCTGGCGGCTGGCCCCCGGCGCTCCACTTGAATGACATTGAGAACACGGTCGTGAATATCATGAGCTGGCCACGACAGTGGACAGGCGGAAACATGGCATCCCTGTTCAAAGGGAAAGGTGGCAATCAAGAGCGACATGATGATCGAGGTATCCTATTGGCAGATCACTCGGGCAAGTCGTTCGTCGGTCGCACGAAGAGGAGCATCGATCCTGTATATAACGAGAAGATGCCGACGACGCAGTTTGGCGCCGTTCCTAGGCGTGGCGCGGACTACGCCACGCATATAGTTCAGAGTATGCTAGCATATGCAGAGAAGAGAGGGTGGTCAGTTTGCGTTCTGTTCGTCGACCTAGTCAAAGTTTTCGACAGAATCGTGAGAGAGCTGGTTTTTGGCTTCCCTGTACCCGTCGCACATGATCGCGCAGCTCGCCCAGCATGCCTTGAGGCGCTAGGTCTGAGCAGCGCAGTTGTCCAGCAGATTCTGCAGCAGATTAAAGAAACAGGCCCCCTTTTGGAGCAGTGGCAGGTAGATCCCAGCGCCAGAACTCTTCTCTGTGTGTGTGTGTGTGTGCGTGCGTGCGTGTGTGCGTGTGTGTGTGTGTGTGCGTGTGTGTGTGTGTGTGTGTGTGTGTGTGTGTGTGTGTGTGTGTGTGTGTGTGTGTGTGCGTGTGTGTGTGTGTGTGTGTGTGTGTGTGTGTGTGTGTGGTGTGTGTGGGGGGGGGGGGGGGGGGGGGGGGGCGCGGGGGGGAGGGGGGGGGGGGTGCGCCAGGGGTGCGAGGTAGGAGCTATGAAATTTAGTGCAGCATAACCCATTGCGTTGCACGCCATGCAAGCACGCTTGAGAGCTGAAGGTCTGGCCTTGAAGCTTGAAGCCCCGACCTGTGAATTTGGGTCAGACCGCCTGGAGGCGTATGACAGCACATGTAGCAGCACCGACTGTGCCTTTGTAGATGATGAGCGTCTCATGGTGGTAAGTCGCACCGCCCAGAGATTAAGTGAGGGTATTCCGAGGCTCTTGAGCGTGTTGGTTGAAACTTTCTCTTTACTCAATCTCGAGATTAACTTGCCCCGAGGCAAGACAGAGGCTTTGGTCCAGTTCCGAGGCCAAGCGTGTCAGCATGTCCTAGAACCCCACATGCACGAAGGTGAGCTGTCGTTCCCAGTGCCAGGGAGTGAGAGACGTCTCATGGTCGTGGACAGGTATAAGCACCTCGGACCCATGCTGTCCTTGCAGACCTTGTGCGCGGTTGACGCCAGGCAGAAAGAGAAGTTTATTCTTGCCGCGTACTCTCCGCTTGCAGATCGTATCTTTGGCTCGCCAGTGATTCACGATTGGGTAACAACTCATCTGGTGACTCGTTTTTTTTTCTCCGCACGCGCGTTATTGTACCGAGCCGTCAGTACATCAGAACCTTGAATGCCACGATGATGCGCCCTTTGAGAAAGATGTTCGGTGAGTCTCGATTCCAGAGAGCCGAGCACCGTGATGCTGAAGTGAGGCTTCAGATGGGCATGCCGTCAGTTGACTGTATATTGCAGCGTGCCAGACTTGTGTATCTACGACGTGTGCTGCTCCACGGACCTGTGGAGTTGCACGCTTCCCTACATGTGCAGGTGAAAAGGGGAGCGACTCCCATGGACGAGGCTCATCACTGCTGACCTGGAGTTGTTGCACGAGCGAGTCATCCGAAACTCGAAGCTGTTCCCTCCCCGCCCCGTTGGAGAACCCCCAGGTTTGGGGCAAGTTTATCCGAGAAGCTGGATCCTTGTGGAGCCAGTTAGTCCAGACATTGTTGTACAGTGACTCTGTGGCCGACTCGGCACCCAGCAGCCACCCTGTCGCCTCTGCTCGGCACCAAGCTGCCGCGATCCCCTCTCGTCCTCACGTGCGTGATGAGTGTGTACGTGCGTGTGCCGTTCCCCCTCCAGCATTCGCCACGCCTCAAGCCTTGCTTTCCCATAAGATGAGGGAGCAGAACGCGCGATGTGGGCGAGGACGCCCTGTGCCCCGTGTGCAAGACAAAGTTCGGCTCGAGGTGGCGTGCGATAGTTCATTTAACTACGTACCCTCTGGCGCGGACCCCCGAAAGATGTCGTGCAGTAGTATTTTCGAGACAGGTCCCACCCTCTCACAAGCGGAAGTGGAGAGATTGGATTCTCTGATGCGCGACGAATGGAAGAAGGCTTATAATTATGGGCATTCCCAGCCTGTCGCTAGGAGACCTGCTGAGAGGTTGGTGCTCTGAGGTGAGGGTTGATGATGTGGTGTATAGTTCGACTTGAGACCTGTCTGGGAGCCTGGGAAGTAGCAGTCGGCGGGAATGAGGGGGAGGTTTTGGAAGGAGAGTCAGGCGATGCGGAAGAGGAGGAGGGATACCTGGGAGGCGGAGGGGGCGGACCTGAGTAAACCCGCGCTGCGTCAGCCATGCTGCGATAAACCCGTACAGACCCCCTGTGCAGGAGCCTCGGTGGGTATTCCGTTTCGCTACTGCGAGGGTCCTCTGAAAGGAAAGCTCTCCGTTGGCCTCGAATCAGGCGGGGGCCTCCTTCTGAAAAGGAGCGCACGCCTGGGAGCGCTTGGGAGCGCCTGGGAGCGCCCAGGAGCGCCTAGGAACGCCTAGGAGCGCTCGGGAGCGCTTGGGGTCGCCTGGGGGCGCCTGGGAGCTTGGGGCGCGCTCCTGGGCGCGCCTGGAAACGGCCCCAGGGCGCTCCCGGGCGCGCCTGGAACCGCCTGGGAGCGCGTGGGAGCGCCTGGGGGCCTCCAGCAGTGATGCGTCAGGCGAGAACCTCTTTTGAGCAAGAGACGCCCTCGACCCACACATTTTTGCGAGTGTCGTGGCAATCTAGAGGAAGTCCCCGGCGAGGGTCCAAGCTTTGAACGGCGAGTTGACAGCCCCTCTGCCCAGGTCTCCCACGTGATCAACCGGTAACTTCGGCGCCAACGCATTTCGACAGCCTTGAGACGGGGGTCAACGCAAACGGGGGTCAGCCAGAGCGCCCGATCTTGCAGGATCCTGCAGGGCCAGGCTCGCATTGACCCGGGCTTGGGTGCATGATCCTGCAGGGTTTTGATCCTGCAGGGTTTTGCAGGATCCTTCGCATTGACCTGGGCTTCGGTGCAGGATCTTGCATGATCTTGCAGGATTCTGCAAGGCCTGACTGACCCAGGTCAGGATTGACCCCGGTCAGAAGATCCCCGAGCATTGTGACCTTCAGTTTGCCTCCTCTTATTTTGTATCCAGCTGCCTGCGGCAAGTCCCACCACCGTGCCTGCCCAGCATTCTGGGTGGCGACTGTTCGCGGGGGCATCGGGTCTCCAGACGTGGGAGAGCCGTGGTGAGGATGAGGAAATGCATGAGGATGGTGGGGGTGATGATGTCGAGGAGGAGGAGGAGGAGGAGGAGGAGGAGGAGGAGGAGGAGGAGGAGGAGGAACAAGGAATCCGTCACATGTGACACCTTTTGTCTTCACTAAGTAAGAAGCTCCCATGGAACCTCTTTGGGCCGTCCAGGAGCTGCCTTGGCCTCCTGTGAGGCCCCCTTCGGGATCCCCCTTGGGTCCTGCTGAGCCGCCTTGGCTCCCCTTTACGCCGTTGTGGGGCCCCCTCGGGGCCGGCTTGGATGCCTCTTGGGCCATCGAAGGGCCCTCTTGGCACTTCGGCCACCTTGGGCCCCCCCTTGGGGGCCGTCTTGGGCCGTCTTGGGGTCCTCGCGGAGGCTTCCTGGGCCGTGTTGAGCTGACGGGCGCCCAATACGGCGAGAGTGCGAGGGAATCATTGGTGTTGGTGTCATCGGGACTTCCTGGAGGTCCACGTGTAGCTCTGCTGTACCCTCTTGGAGGCATGTTGGGCCGTAGCGAAGCCATATTCGGCCGCCTTGGGGCAATCTCAGGCCGTCTTCGAGACATCTTGGGATCTTGGGCCATGTCCTTGGTCACCTGTATGGGCTGTCTAGGAGGAGTTGCTCAAGCTTGCGGTGGAGGAAGGGGCCACCGAAGACGGTTTGGCATCACAGTGGCAATGAGGCCCAGCGGGCACCTTGTAACCGTGGACACCCTAGGCTGCGGTCCCGCGATAGCTGGCACGAGGGCTAAGAACATCCCACGCCCCTAGCCTTCCAGCGGTACCCTTCTGTTTGTTCTTCGTTTGTCATGCCTTCATGGAGCCGTAGGGCTTCGGCGAAGGGTTTTGTGCTCCTGGTCCCCGTTCTTACGACCACGTTTCGATTGTACCGCGTTCGACGTAGTCTTTTTGTGTGCAGGTGTTCAGGCTCGCGGTAGAGGGTAGAGTCGCCTGTGGCCGCTTTGGTGTATTGTATTGACGGATGCATGGTTCTTTGCTCCTCCCATCCATCCATCCTGCTCTTGCCGTTGCTCCCCTATCTGGGTCTTCCGGGTTGATTCGAGCAATGTTGTTCATCTAACGATTCCCAGTCTGACATTCCAGGTCACCCCCCAGCAGTTGCCAGTCGCGGCATGTTCGCTACGACCCCGCATGCGTGGACCATGGAAGGAAACGCCAACACGCGGCTGCCTAAGCACGCCGTCGAAGACAGGGCTACGCATTCGCCATTCTCCTGTCGCCGTTGTGGCTATGGGCCCCGACGGCGTCTGGGTTGCGGCGGGGTTTGACGATGTTCGTCGTTTCCGTGCGCGCAGTCGATGGGATCAGAGTTGCATTGGTGTTCAGGCACGCGGCGGACAAATCATTGGTCGTGAGTGCGAGTTGCAGAATGGGGCAGGCTCGGAGCTGGCCCATGGCACAAAGCCAATGGCTTCGACGTGCACGAGCGTCCCCGAGTGGCCACCTCGTGCCGGCTTGCAGCCACTGTTGCTCATGGAGTCCTCCAGTATTGCGTTGTGTTGGTCGGCGCTGGGCGCGTCGCAGCGGGCTGGCAGACGCCAACGCTCCGGCCGGTGCCCATGCCGCGAGATTCTTGCCAGGCGCCACCCTCCCGCGTTCACTTGGCCAGGGCGCGCCCGAGCGCCGCAGACAAGTGATCGAGAAACCGAGGGCGCTCAAGACGGCGGGTGTCGTCCACGACGGCGGCGGCGGCGACCGTGAAGACGACGGCCACGGCGCGCCACCCGCCCCACCTCTGGCAGGTTTCCCTTCGTGGTGGATGCCGGGGGCCTGCCGGCAACCAACGTCGGGTGGTCTCAGCGGTGCTTGGAGGCAGGGAGGAGTAGGAAGAGGATGAGGGGGAGCTGGACGATGAGGCGAAGTGCGGGGTACGGAGAAGGAGGAGAAGGAGGAGGAGGAGGAGGAGGCGGAGGAGGAGGAGGAGGAGGAGGAGGGGGGAGGAGGAGGAGGAGGAGGAGGAGGAGGAGGAGGAGGAGGAGGAGGAGGAGGAGGAGGAGGAGGAGGAGGAGGAGGAGGGAGGGAGGAGGAGAGGAGGAGGAGGAGGAGGAGGAGAGGAGGAGGAGGGTCAGAAGGAGGAGGAGGAGGAGGATGTGGAGGAGGAGGAGGAGGAGGAGGAGGAGAAGGAGGAGGAGGAGGGAGGAGGAGGAGCGCGATGCGCGAGATCGCCGCGGCGGTGCGGCGCCGCGAAGCCAGCCCCGAATGTCCGGAGGCTGTGGCTGCCGTCTGCGCGGCCCGCGGCGGGGCGCTTCGAGCAGTGCGCGCGGATGCTCGGCGGCAGGCCCAATGCCGAGTGCAGGACAGCATCCGGCAGCTAGTGGCGACCCACCCTCAGGCTGCGGGCAAAGCGCTCAGACGGCTCACCTCGAGTACGCCTGCCGGTATACCGACCATCATGAATGACCCGGAGTGCCCTGCCCAGCTCGTCGGGTCCACGGCAGTCCTAGAAGGCGCCGCAAGGTACATCCTCCGGAGAGACTGGCCGCCGTGGGCAGGCGAGTGCACCCAGAGTACCACGGCGAGCTCACGAGGGAGGTGGACAGCATCCGCACCGAGGCGGTTGACGACCTGCAGCGCTGGGCGGTGACGGATGCATACACCCTGGAGGAGATGCAAGCGGGGCTCCAGCAAATCCGCGTGGGGTCGCATTGCCGGGGTCTGCCGTATGCGTCGGTCCTTTGCGGTCACCCTGCCATGACCCAGGCCCTGCTCAGTATGATGTCTTTGGCGCTCCGCCTAGGAACGGCGGCCGACCTCTGGCCCAGGCTGGAGCAGGATTAGATGTATGTCACGGTATCGCTCCACGATCGTAGCCGCCCCCGACGTCATTTTGGCTCAAGCTGCTCTGGCTCGGCGAGCCAGACCAGAGGTGTATGCTCCGACCCAGCCCCTTCGCCGCGCTCGCCGCCTCGGTGGGCGCATTCGCGGGCTCGTGGCTGGGCGCTCCTCCGCTGGCGCCGCCGGCCGCCGACTCCAGGGTCGGCCATTGCACGTGGGAGGAGGCGGACTGCGCCCCCTGCCCGGCATGCTCACCGCCGGCGTGCCCGGCTTGCCCAGCGCCGGTCATCCCGGCGTGCCCGGCGCCTGTGGTGCCAGCCTGCCCGTCGCTCAGCTGCGGGAGCAGCTCGACGGGGGCTTGGTGGGCGACCGCCGCCGTGACGTTCGGCGCGGTCGCGCTGCTCGGGGCCCGCGCATGCTGGCTGTGGGGTCACGGCCGTGTCGCTGGAGCTGCCGCGGGCGGCGCCAGCTTTGGAGAGGCCCGCCAGCGCTCCCCGAGCCTTTGGACGCCGTTCGTTTCCATCGGCCTGGTCTGGGTGCTCCTCTGGCTCTGCCTGCGGGGGGTGCGTCGCCGCCCCCATCGGGATCGACCGCACCATCCGAGATTGAGACGTGGAGGCCGCGGGCCAAGAGGGCGTGATGGCGGCAGCACGCCAGTACGCATTGGAAATCGAGCCACCGCAGGTGGCGGTCAACTATAGACGACGACCCGAACTTCCTGGCCAAGCTGACGGAGGGCGCGAAGTGGGCTGGCGCGACCCCGACGCATGCGATCCAGGTCATCGACCTCGCGGCTCACCAGGTGGTCCCTTTTGTGCGCGGATGCCCGGTGCCGGACCGAGTGAGGAACAATTTTTACCTCTTCGACCCCATGACCGAGGAGGAGCTCGGGGACCTCCGGCGCCAGGCCAACGCGCTGGCAAGCCTCCTCGGCGGGGTGGCGCCCGCCCCGGGAGCTGCCCAGACGCAGTTGGTCGTGGCGGACTCGGGCTCGGGCGCATTCGGGGAGGCGGTGGCGGCCCCGATCACTCTCAACCCCGCGAGGTTCGTGCAGAGAGGGTCCGCCGGTCTGGCCTTGATCGACGACGACAGGTGGACAGCGGTCGAGCGTGTCCAGATGGCAGACCTGAGCGCGCGGCTGGAGGAGAAGCGTTCTGGGGCGGGGCCCGACCCCAGGGTGCTTGTCATAGAACGAGATGCCTGCGGCCACTGCTCTTCGCCTTTCCGGGGCGTCCTTGTCGAGATGAGGGAGCGCCGACCAGTTGCACATGGTGCCGCTGGCTCGCCCGCTGGCGCCGCCGCAGGAGACGCTTGGTCCTTCCGCGGGCCCTCCGCGGCGGTGGAACTGCCGACGAACATCAGGGCCAGCGGGGAAGACATTTCGGCGTGCCACGAGCACTGGGTCCGCGGGTCAGGGATCGCGCGGGAGAGTGCGGTGGTGTACCATCACGCGTCGCTGGTCTCGATCCTGCGCCACCTCGCGTGCTTCGATCAGGTCGACGCGTGCCAGCTCGCTGGGGCCGAGGCTCTCGCTCGGAGGGCTTTGTAGTTGGAGCGCGGCGCCCACCGCAACCCCAAGTCGCCCGACTTTCGGGGCCCGGAGGTCATTCTGGCGAGCCGGTTGGACGCCGGGGCGCCAGTCGCGACGGGGGAGTTCGCGAAGTTCATCGCGGAAGGGCAGAAGTCGGAGGCGTTCACCCTGAAGCAGCAGAGGCTCTTCGCTGAGGAGACCGGCAAGAGGGGCCAGCCCGGGGGATGGCAGTAGCAGGAGGCGACCGCTTCACCTCCACCTTGCTGCCGCCTGCGCGCTCGGGCCCCTGTCGGGCTCGCCGCTGCGCGGGATGGCGTCTCGCCCTCATTTTTTTTTTTTTTTTTTTTTTTTTTTTTTTTTTTTTTTTTTTTTTTTTTTTTTTTTTTTTTTTTTTATGGTGCTTTCGCCCGGCGCCGGGGGGCGACGGTCAGCTGCCGCTGCTGACGGGTTCGACGCGCTGGACCAGATTGGGCAGGGGCTGGCCGTCGGTGCTGCAGCCTCGATCAACGCCCTGGCCGGCGCCCGGGCCAAGGGCCTTCCGCCGCCGCGGAGACCTGACCACCGCCCGCCAGGGGGCCAGCTCCCGCTGTGCCGGCAGGCCGCCTGGCGGCGCCTGGGGGCCGCGGCGGCCGCCGCCGGTGCCAGGCCAGATGAATGCGATTTGTGCCCAGACGGGGCGCCCAAGGAGATTCTCAAGACGAAGGGCATGCACGACCCGGACGTCTCGCTCAGCGTCGCCCCCTATGACAGCGAGAAGCTCACCGTCACGCGCGGCGGGCTCACGCCGCAGGACACCGCGGGCCTTGTCGACGACGAAGCCCGTGAGCACCTCCTCCACCCCCAGCGCATCGCGCTCCCGTCCGACGAGATCCCGCAGGAGCCGACCCAGCCGCACTGGGACCAGCGGCTCCTCCGCAACCGAGGCCAGCTCGATGATTTGCTCAGGGGGCTGGAGGGAGCGGGGCTCATCGCGCGCCGAGCAAAGGCGCGCTCGCGGGTGGGCATCTTCTTCGCGCAGAAGAAGACGGGGATGCTGCGCATGGCGCTGGACTGTCGGCCGGCCAATGCGCTACGCAAGCGAGCGCCCCACTCGCGCCTCGCCACCAACGGGGCAGTGGCGGGCCCTCGACCCCTACGTGGGCGAGTCGCCCGTGGGGGGCCCCCCTCTGCGGGGCGCCTCGGTCGACCTCCAGGACGGCTTCTTCCAGTTCCTGGCGCCGACGGTGTCTCATTACTTCGGCCTGGGGCGCGGTGACATCGGCGTCGACTCGGTCCACGACCCGGAGGTGGGGGGCCACGCCCCCGTCTCGCCGGACATTCCCCCCGAGGCGTGCTTCGGCGGGCTGCCGATGGGCTGGAGCTGGGCGCTCTACTTCTGCCACAGCGCGCTGTCGCTTGAATGCCGCCGCGCCCAGGAGGCGCTGGGGCTGCCCACCATGCTGGTCGGTGACCGCAGGCCCCCCCCCCCGCTCGGGGCCGGCGTCGCCGTCTGCGCGCCGTGCGTGGACAACGCCAACGTCCTCGTGTCGGACAGGGAGACGGTCGCCGCGCTGCACCAGCAGGTGGTCGACGAGCTGGTCCACGTGGGCTTCGCGGTTCACGAGCGGGTCGACCCGACGCAGGACTTCGAGGCCATCGGGCTGCTGTTCGACGGGGGCCGTCGTTGGGTGCGCCACGAGCCCGCGCGGCCGTGGCGCCTCTGGTTCGCCCTCGGCGAGGTCGCCTGGCGGAGGTCGCTCGGCCGGGGCCACGTGCGGCAGCTCCTCGGTCATCTCGTGCACCACTTCAGCCTGCAGCGCTGCGCCCTTTCCTGCTTTGGGGAGGCGTATCGCTTTGTGGGTTCTGGTGGAAGTGAGGTGGTCAGACTGCCGTCGGCGGTGCTGGGTGAGCTGGCGGTTGCCCGCGGACTCGTGCACTTCGCGCACATGGGCGTCGCGGCGCCGATGCTCGCCCGCTGCTACTGCAGTGACGCGTCGACCGAGGGGCACGCCTTGCACTGCGCGGGGGCATCGCCGACCGAGCTCTGGCCGGTCGCCGTCTGGCGGGAGCGCTGGCGCTCGGACTCCTTGGCTCGGGCTGACCTGGAGGCGCTGCGCGGGTGCGCGGTGGCCCCGCCTGCCGCCGCCGGCTCGTTCTCAGAGTGGGTCGACGAGGAGCTGGACAAGGCGCTTCACCTGGATGAGCGACCTGGCGCCGTGCGGGCTGGCGACCGGGGCCCTCCCAAGACGCTTCGTGCGCAGCGGGAGGTCGCCGGGCTGCCCCCGAAGGTGCCCGACACGTTCGTCGAGCCGCGGCGCTGGGGGCGTTTGGTCGTGGGGCGCTGGAGGCGGCAGGCCGCCACCCACTGCAAGGAGGCGCGCGCTTCGCTCCTGGGCCTGCGCCAGGAGCTCGAGCAGCCCAGCTCGCACGGGCACCGCGTCCTCAGCAGCTCGGGGACAACCTCTCGGAGACCTTGGCGTTCGACCGAGGACGTGCTCGAGACGCGGAGCTGCTGGGGCTGGCGCGC